TTGATCCTGAGTTGCTTGTAGTAAACGAAGGTATAATTTAAACACCAATGTTATTTTGTTTAGATGCACGTCTATAATTCCTTTCCTATCTGCTTTCTTTCTGATAATTTTATTCGATTTAGTTCTTATATATTTATTTGATAGTTTATTCCAGGTGATCATTATTTATCTGCTTTTTTTGTATAACTGTTTTAGGTATTTTCTTCAGTCGGGGCTAAACTGGATACATCGCGCTTTACCGTCGACTTGAAAGAGCTTAATGAACTTCTTGTCAAAGCTCAAGAGGAAACAGGCGTGAATTTTCTCAAGACGTGTGAGGGGTTTTTCCTATCAGGGACGTTAGAACAAATAGAAAAGACATGCTTGTTTTTGTCAAGATATGTTAAAAGTGCTACTCCTGTGACAGAGAGTTCAGACAATCTACAGAATGTTCACCGCAATGACCATCCCCTTGGTGATTCGGATGATGAGGAAAACGATCTCAAGACGTTGGTTTTAGACGTTGAACCCAAGCTGCTGCAAATTCTTCAAATAAAAGTGAATGAAATTGAGAAAAAATTCAAAATGAAGATAGACTGGAAGAGTGAACCATATAAAGCAAATTTGAGTCCCAATGGAAAAGATGCCCGGTTATTTGAACAAGGTAAAGAAGAGTTTATCACACTTTACCAGAAAGAGTTCCCAGATTTACAAGAAAAGGACTTTCCATTAGATGCTGGCAAGAACATTGAAGATATAGATTCTACTGTAAAAGCACTGATGGAAGAATTTGCTGTGGTCATTGAAAGAAAAGACGACAAAAATGTTCATATATTTGGGAAAGAAAATGATGTGGCACAAGTAATGCAGCAGTTGCAAGGCAAATTTGGAAAACGCAGAGGAAGAAAGCCCTATAAAGCATCAAGTAATGGTGAATTGCCGATGGCCGACACCTATGCACATGCAAGAACCTTAGAAACCGAAAGACAGGCGCACCAAACAACAAACCAGAGAAAAGATGCATTGCAAAGGACCTTAGAAACCGAAAGACAGGCGCATCAAGAAACAAGCCAGAGAAAAGAAGAGATTGAAGTATCTTTAGAAGAAGAAAGGCAAAGAATCGATGAACTCCTTGCAACACAAGCCACATTGCAACGATCTGTCGAAGACTACCGAGCTTCGACGGAATCTTGCGATTGGGTACTTGCACGCGATGAAATAATGATGACCGAAAACCTCATTGGAAAAGGAGCATGGGGTAGTGTAACAGAGGGAAAATTCCGTGGATGTGAAGTTGCAGTGAAACAAATTCATCAGCTTATTCTCTCAGATCACAACAGAAGACTTTTCGAGCGTGAAATTGGTATAGCTTCAAGATGTCGTCATCCTTGTCTTCTTCAGTTTATTGGAGCAACCAACGATAATCAAAGTCCACTTTTTGTTACGGAACTTTTGGATTCTAGCCTAAGAGCACTTTTGCATGAACGTGCATTGAATCCTACTGAGATCATTACCATTGCTCTAGATGTTGCCAAAGGGTTAAACTACTTACATCTCATTAGACCCACACCTATCATCCATCGAGACATCAGCAGTGCAAACGTGTTACTTTGGAAACACAATACTTACTGGCGAGCAAAAGTATCAGATTTT